CGGGTACCCGAATAAAACATTAGGAGTGGGTTAGGGTCGCAAAATGGCTGATTCGATATTTTAGGGTCGGGTCAGCCAAATCTTGTTAAGGGCGGGTACCCGACCCGTGCCCATCCCTAAATGGCAATAGGTTTTGCCTATTCCTTTTCACTCATTTGTTAATTAGGTTGCAATGGGAATCTATTAAATATTTTCCATTTCCTTTTTTTCGTCTTCAATATTTTGCCTTGCTTCATAATGGAATCGGTTGATCTTCCAACCACCACCAAGTAGCAGCCAACAATCACAGCCTTTGACATCAGGAAACATAGTGGTCCCCAAAACTTCACAAATTTTATCTCAAATTCTTCAAACCATCTCCACCCATTTTAGTGAAAACAAAGGGCCTGTTTGGCAAACAAATTTTTTGTCAAGTATGTCTGCTACAAATTTTTTTAATAACTTTAGTTGTAGTAACCTCAAAAAACTTCTCAAAAATTTTAAACTATACACTTCAAAATATCCAAAAATTTAAGCAATTTAAAACTTTTTCCTACAACTTTTGCAATAAGTTACAGTAAAATTTAAACAAACACCCAAAAAATTCATTTGCCAAACGGGGCCAAAATTTCAATTGAAATTCAACAAACTATTTTTTTCCAATTTGTACAAATCTGAAAACCCACCACCATCACCACCAATTGCTAATTAAAAAAAAAAATTCACCATGAATACCCAAAAATTGACCATAACCACAGAAGAAGAAGAAGAAGAATAAAAAAAACTCAACCATTACCAGCGAAATCAGGAGAAGAAGAAGATGAAAATGAAGAAAACTCAACCATATCTAGATTGGATCCCATGGTTGACCTATGTTGGAGGAATCTAGAACTGATGGGTTAAGGGAAAGCTTAGGTAAGGAGGTAGGAACAAGGGGTGTGGGGTGGTAAGGATTAGAGAGAGAGAGTTTTGTGCGATGAATTTTTTTTTTTTTTTTTTTTTTTTTTTTGTGGTTTGGTGGGTAGTCAAGGCAAAAGTGCCCAATTTACTCTGGAATGGCCATTGAAGAGTTTTTGGTCTTCCATTATCATAGATTCATTACCTATGCAGTGTTCCAAACATTATCAATGATAATCATTGATTGTCATACCCATTGCCTACCCAGTAAACCCTCCAACCAAACGGGTGGTTACTAAGTCTTTGCCAACCATGTCATTGGAGTCTTGAAGGAAGGATGGGCCAAAGACTCTGCAAAAGGAGACAAGCCATTGCGATTTTTTTATTATTCTATCACCGAAAGTCTTGAGGGAAGGATGGGCCAAAGACTCAGCAAAAGGATTCAAGTCATTGTGAATTTTTGGCTATTCAGAAAAGTAAGATTAAGTAGAATTCGACCGTATTTTTTTCTCAAATACTTTACTTCATTTTTTAGAAGAGTCAAGACAGTATTAGGATAAATCCAGTTGTTCACCTACAATTGGCAACTAGTATTCTGTACCATGCTAATACAAATTTTATCAACTAAAGATGCAATACAAAAATCTTTTGATAATGTCCTAGCTACTTTTCTTCTTTTGGATCACTAGTTAGAAAAAATCAAGTTACGATAAATTTTGGATTTAATCACAGCTCCAGCTTCTATTCCCACATTCTATGTGCAATTGAGGAGGACTGACAATCCTTGACTTGCCTAACAACAAATCGAACATGCAATTGCAATTCCAAAATGTTTTGGAAACTTAACTTCTCAACTTTGGGCACTGAACTTGAAAAATAAAATTGGTCTTCAAGGGAGAATTGTCATGACATTTACGACAAACTCACAAAATGTTGATTGAGAAGTCTAAATTTGAGTTGCAATTTCTTGGAAGGCTCACTACTAACCATGATGATTGGCCAACTCCGAAGAAAACTGGAAGTCCTTGATGTTGGAAACACTCATATTTTTTTTTTCAATAATGATAACTAATCTAACATACTCCTAATCTATGAGAGAATGGGGTTGGGGGAGGGGGAAGCCTAAACAGGAGCTGGAGGAAAAAGCCTAAACTATCAAACCATACAAGTGCACTACTGCACTTCTAAATTTTTTAAAAACAAGATGCATTATACTTCTTGTGTAATGTACTAGATAGGATTTGAATCTGGATAGTTGGGAACACTCATACAAAGGTGACATATTTCCAATATGGATGACGGAAAAGTCTTCCTGATTCCAAGTCTCTAAAATCTTGAAAGCTAGTAAATAGTTGGTATGATGGTTATTTGGACCCATTGACTGACAGTACTAGTGACTTTTCGGATATAACAAACCATTTTCTAAGGACAATTTTTCTACGTGAAGCATTTCCACGAAATTGGAATGACGGGTCTTCCACGAAAGTATTGACTGCGAGTCATCTTCAATGTTTTGAAAATCGGATCGGATCGGCCGGTTCGATCGGTTGAACCACGAATCGGCCATGGCACCGATCCGATTCTATGTTAGGGTTGACCATGCTAGAAAATCGGTCAAAAATCGATCCAACCGTGATACCGTCGAAACCGGATTGAACTGGTTTTTCCCGATTTTCGAGTTTTTTTTTCTTTTACATTTTGCAAAATGTAGCTTTCAAGATTTGAACTCATAACGTTTGTAATAGAAAACCAATATAGTAACCGCTGCACTATCACATCTTATTAATTTTTTTTATAACTTATTTATATAAAACAAACACTCATATTTTTTTTTTCCATTTTTCTTACAAAATCTCATCCTCTCATGGCTCTTTCTTTTTAATCTTCAACTCTCTTTCTCTCTCTCTCTCTCTCTATCCTCTTTTCTTTTGTCACTCCATTTTTAATCAAACATCTTTATTTTTAATTTATTGATGTTTTCTTATATCTTTTAATTTTATTTTTGTCCATTAAATTAAAAAAGTTAAAAAAGAATTATTTTTTTAACTCAAATTATTTAATACCACAACCACTTACTTTTATCTCATTTTTTGTTTCTTATCAAGTTTGCATTTCTATTTTCGATTCTCTTGACTTCTTTCTAACTTCAAACTTTTTTTTTTTAAATTGCAATATCTAAATCCCAAAACGTAAATTAAAATTTAAGTTCACAATGTCTAAATTCTCATAGACGTGAATTTTATATAATTTCAAAATATTGTGATATTTTTGGGTTGGATTTAAGATTTTTTGATAGATATACTTGAAATTGAGATGAAATTTATTTTTTTTAACTTATAATTCAAAAATAAATAATTTGTTTTTAAAAATCCAAATTATTCAAAAATAGTAAACTTTTCATCATGTAAAGTATTAAATTATTCAATTACATGTCTTATTTTGTGCATATATATATTTATATAAATTATTTTTAAAAAAAATTCATTGAACCAAGGTTGAACCGGTCCGACCGCTTGAACCTCGACCCTTTCACTTCAACGATTCAATTAACGGTCTGGTTTTTAAAACATTGGTCCTCTTCTAACTATTGGATCAATCCCAATGATTTATACTCGACGCCACCATTTCTTTCATGTACATTAATATCCTGCCAAAATTTGCCAACTCTACCTGATCAATAAAAACCCCTGTATTAAGTTCATAAAAGGTCTTTTATCAGCCATTTGATCATCTAAACACATATACCTTCTGCTGCACGCCTTATTCCATTTTTTTTTCAGTGGATTTAAAACCTCAGGTTTCATGTTTGGTCAAATAGCTACTAACCAACTCAGTCCAACTGAGTCGGCCACCAGAGAAAGACTTAAAGCTTTCTCGGACGATGCATGCGCAAAGACCATATACGAAATTATTTTGCAATCTAGAAACTAGGATTCAATTTAAACATGTATCTCACAAGTCAATCTGTTTTTCCTCTAGCTAAGCCAAGCAAATTAGTTGCACCGTCGAAGCCCATATAATCATATCTAAACTAGCGCAAGTTAGTTAAATGGACTAATTCTACCTTGCATTTCTGAACTTGTATTACTTTTTATTTTGCATCATAAATTTCAATTTTGAACATTTTACATTATAAAGTCTTAATTTCAGATGCCTTGCACCATAAAATCTCAAGTTTGTCCAATTAATGACTATGTTCGCAAAATTAATGAGATAAAGAGTGGTGAAAATTAATGATAATGTATCATTTTATTCTAATAGCGATCCCTTAAAATTTTTGACCACTTGTATTACATTATCCTGAATTTATAAGGTCTCAATTACTAATATTATTAACAAAATTAACGAGATAAAAGATGGTATAAATTAATGACAATGTATTGTTTTATTTTTTTTATTATACCTTGACACTTTTTGACTACATTCGACATATAATCAATGATTTGTTGGATTCTCTATGCTGTTAACTTTGATAAAGTTGTCATTTATTGGACTTAAATAGAGCAAGCTTGAGAGTTTAGGGTGTAAAGTGTCTAAAATTAAGATTTTAAAATGCAAAGTGACTAAAAATTAAAGTTTAGGGTGCAAAGTAGAAAAGTGATATAAGTTCCGAGGTGCAAAATGTAGTTTTGCCCCAGTTAAATTTCACTGCCAATATATTTCTTCTCAGCTTCTTTGCTGTATAATCCTTGCTTTCCAACATATATTATCAAGGTAGCTTCTCTGTGGTTAAAGTGCATCAGTTGTCCGGCCGTTAACTATAAATTTTGATTTTAAAAATTATTTTGCTAAAAACAAAATCCCTGGATTTTATTGTTGCTATCCTCGAATCTCACCTCTATTTTCCGTGCTTAAAAATTCAATTTTCTTTTTGAAAAGTCTAAACGCTAAACCTTTCTGCATCAGATCTCTCACTTTCATAGCTTCGCACAAATCACTAACATTATGCAAAATTTCCAGAAAGGAAAAAAAAAGTCCAAGTCATTTATTCACCATGATATTGACAATGAAGTTGATCTACATGTTTAAACAATGCCATGTTGCTTATATAAGTGCAGTTGGATGGTAGTAAATTGTACCTTTCAAATTGGCCTAGTTAGTTTTTCTCCCAAGTTTTGGCTTAGGATAAACAAGATACCATCTCAGAAATGTGGAAGCTTAAGGTTGCCGAAGGCCATGGACCGTGGTTGTTTAGCACCAACAACTTTCTTGGTAGACAAATATGGGAGTTTGACCCTGACCTCGGCACCCCAGAAGAACGAGCACAAGTTGAAAAAGCTAGAACGGATTACCAGAAAAATCGATTTCAAGCAAAGCCCTCTGGCGACATCCTTAAGCAAATGCAGGTAAAGATATACTAGTAGCTTTGTTCCCGTGTTGCCCAAAAAACGAGAAAAAGAATTAATAGACACCTGAGATTTTGAGGTTTCTGTTCATTCAATAGAATCTATAACCGGACGGTTCCCCCCTATGTCGACCTATTAAATAAAAAGCGAGCCTTGATTTAAAGAGTTGGTGAAACAGAAGAATTACTAAACAATGAAACGGTGAATTAATTAACTGGTCTTTTTTTTTTTTTTCTTGTGTTGCTTGATCAAATTCAAGTTTAGTTTTTCTCATACAAGCATAATGGACCTGTTCCTTTTCTGTTCCTTCCTTCCAACCCGTCGCCGCCAAACAAAATGTTGCAATACCTAAATTTTGTAATCAGGTAGAACCAATCGAAGTATCAAACTGGACTACCTTAATTGCAGAGAAAGCAATTTGCACTAGACTACCTTAATCTTCCTAAAGTCGCTGTTTTTTTTTCATGTATGTGTACCAGCTTATCAAAGAAAACCAGGCAGATCTAAGCTTGCCAAACATACGGTTTGAGAGAATAGAAGGAATCACCAGTGAAATGGTTACAAGTGCTTTAAGGAAAGCCGTGAGATTCACCTCAGCTGTCCAAGCACAAGATGGACACTGGCCTGCTGAAATGTCTGGGCCATTGTTTTACCTGCCTCCTCTGGTAAGCGTCTAACTAAGAGTCCTCTATGGTTGTGTTCACGATTACAGCTTTGATTCAAGGATAAGATCTTGCTGTAGTTGATGTAAACTCATATGAGCGATTCAAATCTATTGTTCAAAATTCAATAAAAAAGGAATTTATAGTTTGAAATTAACAATTTTAATGATCAAGCCAAGTCAATAGCAATCCAATCTAGATCACTAATTGTTTAATGTGTTACACTTGCAATTGCAGACAACCGCTTATACTCAGGCTCTGTTTGATAATATAATTCAGCACTTAAGTTTAATGGATTCATATCTTAACATGTTCGAACGTGTTTGATAACAAAAAATTGAACAACTGAATTAATTAAATGGTACTAAATTTCTTGGGTAAAACTTGTTTCAAAAAAATAAATGATAAATCATTCACTTATCACTTAATGTGATATACACTCAAATGTTTCATATTTAGTACTTAATAAATTAATAAATTTAGATTCCAAGTTTCAATTTTCAAATCTCAATTTTATGTGACGCATCTTAAGTAGTTTTTGGACAAAAAACTGTGTAGATAAACTCGTAAGCCAAGTGGCGCAGGAAACTTCCACGTCATCGAAGTAATTGAGATTGAAATACTCAGAATTCCTTTGCCTAGCTAGGAACGCTCTGCACTTTGGTCATTTTCTCAATTTTTTCTTTTCGTTTCGAAATACAAGTATTAGTACAATTCAAAATCCTATTGCAACAATCTTCCAGATTAGGTTTCCTTTTGCCTTATTCCACAAGCTCTGTCTCACCCTTCTTGTAAGATCTCCAAACCAATCTCCTTCCCCACTATAATCTTCTTTTTATTTTGGGTAAAATACAAAAAAGTTACCTGTGATAAACCTAATATACAGAAAAGCTTCTCGTGGTTTCAAAATATACAACACGACACCTCGTACTTTGAACTAAATTGTAAAGGTGACGGAATCCGTTAAACTTAACGGAAATGACTTATTGGAATCTAAAAAATTTTTTTATACCTAATTTCTAACAACTATACCTGTTCTACCCCTTAACCCTCAATTCTCTCTATCCAGAGAATAGAACAAATAATTTTTTTAGTTGTCTTTTGCTTAATTATATCAGGGCATTTTGGTCATTTCTTTCATTTCCGTTAAGTTTAACGGATTCCGTCACCTTTACAATTTAGTTCAAAGTGCGCGGTGTCGTGTTGTATATTTTGAAACCACGAGAAGCTTTTCTGTATATTAGGTTTATCACAGGGGATTTTTTTTGTTTTTTACCCTTTCATTTTTTGTAATTTCTGGTGTAATGTTGGGTTAACATTTGGGGTTTTCTTCAAAATTTATTAGTTGAACCAAAAAAAATATTAAAACCATGATCTTAATTTTGTGAAAAGAGGGAAAGAAGTCATGGCAAAAGAGATCTATTGGGATTGATTGATAATAGTGATGGTGGTGGTGGTGATACCTCAGGTGGGAAATGGGGGAGGGGGCTAAGAGGAGGGATCTATTGGGATTGATGTCTACAAGTGAGTCCGTAGATTGAGTCTATACAAGTTCTTGCCTAGTTTTAGATGCTCCGTGATAGATTTGCAAAGTCCCTACCGCAACTAATTACATCTCTTATTTTCATATTCTTAATCATTCAATACGACATGATGTCAATGAACTTTACCTCTTGCTACATGCAGACCATGCTCCTGTACACTAGCGGAACCATGAATGTGGTTCTATCAGCAGAGCACAAGAAGGAGATTATGCGCTATATTTACAATCACCAGGTACTCAGAAAATTGGTTGTGTACAGATTGTGTTGGTTCCATAATTCTCCGACAAAGCTAATTTAGTTCCGTAGGTTATCAATTTAACCCCGTCGATGTACATTTGACAATGTTTGACTCAGTTTCACCAGGTTTTTGAGATGTCCCTAATTGGTAGAAATTTAAAAAAAAAAAAATCATAAAGAGACTAGCTTAGTTATTTTTCAAATGTTACACACCAAATTAGTCCACATGCATTTGGATGATAGCTGACTAAACAATTTCATAATATTCGTTTTTCTTCCTCTTGTTCTTTTGTGTGTGTGTGTGTGTGTGTGTTTTTTTTTTTTTTTTTGCTTCCAGAAATAAATAGAAAAGGTTAGCAAAACATTTGTAGACTTTTTAATTGCTAGTAAAGAATTTTTATTTTATGCATCACATCACGATAAAAATTCTTAATTTTGCACTTATTTGTGGCGAAGGTTCAAATCCCTCGTAAAACTTTTCGCTTCTTTGTTAAACACTCGCTGTGCTCAAATCCGCAGAATGAAGATGGAGGATGGGGATTTCACATAGAAGATCACAGCACCATGTTTGGGACAGCAAATAACTATGTCGCTCTTCGTTTGCTTGGCGAAAACGTCGATGGCCCGAATGGTAATGCTCTTTCAAAAGCCCAGAATTGGATATTAAATCACGGAGGCTTAACAATGATACCATCCTGGGGAAAGATGGGTCTCTCGGTAAATTCCTATCCAAATTTGTCCCGGATATAATTTCCGATAAGTCCACAATTGGCTTAAATGTTTATAATGCCGTCCTTAATTTTACCACGTACACAGCTTATCACAAACTATACAAAATTTTTATTGGAGGAGGAGGAGGATCTTGACATTCGTCAAAAAAGAGAGGAAATAGGTCGAAGAATCGAGAAAGGAGTTTTAGCAGGGAAAGAGAGAGAAAAAGAGAGGTCATGCGTTCGAATTTTTCCCTAGACTTGAACCCCTCTATCTAATTTGGGTGCGTCGTGGGGGGCTACAGCATATTTCTCGATTTGGTGTGTCGGCTAGAGTTCTAAGTGGCTCGAGTCGGAGCATGTTCTGCGTTATCAAAAGATAAAAAAAAAGAAGAGAAAAAGAGAAGAGGTGCAGAAAACAGAGAGACTAGAGAGAGACAACCAAAAGAGAGAACATATTCTTCATTAACAAACTTTTGAGCTCAATTCCATACACATCAACTGATTAATAACCGTCTTTTCTAACTAATCGCTAGTAAAATGATGCTGTTTTAGTAATACTTGACTCTAATTGCAATACAATTATGATTTACACTGAAACGACATTAACAACATACAAAAACGACAATTTATAACGGGAGTTGCTTGCTGACACTGTAATGCATGTGTTTATGAAATTTGCACTGATATATGGACGGACACAGCAGCTAGATCGCAGGTTTGGACGGCTTAACTCCAAAGTAGAATGACACTTTCCTCATTGTCTTGATTTCCTTATATATTTAACGAAATTTCACTCTCTTAATTAGCTGATCGGACTGTACGACTGGTCAGGCTGCAATCCCATTCCTCCAGAGTTATTTCTTTTACCTTCCTGTCTGCCAATACACCCAGGTACTAATTACTTGTAGCTTGCCATCACTATTAAATTACATTTTGCTGATTTTTTTTTTCTTTCTACCAAATATCAATTTCTGAGTATTCATTCTTTATTTGTATGGATTGCACACCAGTTTCTCACACGGAGACAGTATAAAATTATTTATTCATTTGAAAAACTCAACATTCCTGCTGCTAAAGATTAATTATCTATCTAGAACGTTAATCATTAATTTACTGGCATTAAAAAAATTTAGAGGGACTAATTTACCTGCTAATTTGCTTTTCCCGGTAAGCATGAGCTGAGCATGTTACTACTCAGACCACGTTATCATTGTTTATATTAACATTAAACGGACTGTAGAATTTCCTTATGATTTATGGTGTAGAAGTCTTCTTTTGAGGGTAAGCATCTGCACGTAGGCTAAACCGTGGAATTGCAACCTCCTTTTGATCCACGAATTCGTGCAAGCGCACAGGGTCAATCGTAATAATAAATAACCTGGAGTATTCCAGGATCGAACCTACAGAGACGAGTTAATTTTTGCTATTTTAATTATTCTAACAAAATAACAAAATTTAAATTCAAAGAATTGTATTTTTTAACTAAGCAATAAAATAATAATCAATTCAAATAAAGTAGTGGTGAGTCTAGGGTTTTAGATTTTAATCCAGAATTTGAATCAAATAGATGTTGCATTTTATTATCGAGGACCTGTAAATTTGTATTATTTACTTTTTTACCCCTTCCTCACATTTAAGACAACATTATTTTCAATGTTGGAGATAAAATAAAGAAATAATAACAAAAAAAGAGTTGAAAATGAAACTCCCTTGTGCTAAAAGTCAAGTGGGGTGAGAGAAGTTGCTAGTTACTATCCAATAGTCAAGTTCAAGAAGCCATCCTACCAAACTATAAAAAGACTAGAAAATACTACAAATAGGAGTTAAATACACCACTAAAACCCAAACTAGAAAACAATAAAATTGTAAGGAAATATACACTGCCATTAATCCCAAACAAAAGGAAAATATTAAATAAATTAAAAAGAAAGTCGGGTTGCCTCCCGATAAGCACTAAATTTTATGTCTTCAACCGAACAAGGATAGATAAGGTCATGGAGGATGAAATCGTTCAGACTTTTGCATATCCTTTAATTTATGTGCCTGCAGTATTGCATAACTGTTCGCATCAGCATTGCGTTTCCAGACCGCGAACGAAGAATATGAGTGATGATCATGCAAAGGCATTAATCCTATGTCCTGTTCTAAAACATATTTTTTATCATACAACTTATCAGTAGCAGCAATAAAAGAACAAGACTCCTCATACAAAGGGTATTTAAAGGGTTCAAAAACATTAAATTTTTCTTTCTCTTTACCAACCCTTAAAGTTAATTTTCTTTCAAATAAATCTATATTAGCACCTCCTATAGCTAAGAATCTTCTACCAAAGATAAAAGGTACAGAAATATCTTCCTCCATATCAAGAACAAGAAAATCAGTAGAAAAATAAAATTTACCAATTTTAACCAATAAATTCTCTACAATGCCTATTAGATATCAAACTGAATGCTTAGCCAATTGTAGAATCACTTGAGTAGGCAGTAGGTTGGCAAATTTCAATTTCTTGAAAAATGATAAGGGTATCAAATTAACACTAGATCCAAGATCACATAAACACTTCTCAACAAGAATATGTTCAAATTGACAAGGCACTGGTAAAACTCCCTGGATCTTTCATCTTAATTGGAGACAATTTTGAAGCACTGCACCATATTCCTTAGTAAGAGACACCTCTGTAAAGTCCTTTAACTTCTTTTTATTAGACACTATCTTCTTTAAGAACTTTGCATAAGTAGGGATATTTGCCAAAATTTCGGAAAAGGCACAATGACTTATAACTTCCTAAACATATCCACGAACTTCTGATATAGCGTATCAGTTGCCTTTTCTTAACCCTTTGCAGGAAAGGAATATGCGGCACATAAGCTTTAACTTCAAGCAATTTTATACATTGATTATCTTCATGACCATGTTTGCCCAAACCATCATGCTCATCCTCAATTTTTTTACTTTCATCATCCACTTTAACCTTATTTTTCTTCTCAAGTACTGGCTTTACTTTAACTCCTGGATCATCCAACACTTTGTTATTGCCATTGTAGCTTTTTTAGGATTCACTTCAGTGGTGCTAGGCAGTTTATCTTGCCTCCTTTCAATTATTGCCTTCGCCAGTTGGCCTACTTGTCTCTCCAAACTTTGAATAGAAGCTTGTTGAAATTGAGCTATTTGCTCCAGTTTCTGCATATATTGCAACATCATGTTTTCAACACTTGGCTTCTTTTCTTGAGTAGGTGGAGGTAGATATTGAGATCCTTGTGGCTGATCTGGGAACCCAGATTGTCCAATAGGGGTGACCCCTTAATTTCTTCATGATAAATTAGGGAGATTTCTCCACCCCTCATTATACGTATTAGAAAAGAGATCATTCATTTGAGAACATAGCCATGAAAACTGAGTTTCGTCTTTTAGCAATAATTGGATCCGATGCATCTGACGACTGAATTTGGCCACTTGTGAACCAAAATCCTTAGAAGTAGACACTTTATGTACACTTATTCTTTTACCTCAATTTGCTTTTTGTTGAGAGTTATTAGCAAGTAACTCGTACATTGCAACCAATTCTTCCGAAATTTTATCACTAATATACCCTCCTGCTGCAAAATCTATCATATTTTGAGTCGTGAAATCCATCATAGAAAAACTACATTGTAGAGCCAATGGATACTGGTGATGAAGACATTGACTAGTTAGTAACTTAAATCGTTCCCAAACTTTGTGAATGGACTCTCCTTCCATTTGAGCAAAGTAGCAAATCTTGTTCCTTAGATCAATAGTTTTTTGTGGAGAGTAGTGCTTGGTCATAAAGATATTGTAAATATCTTCCCACGTTCTTAAGGATCCCGCAAGTAAGTTTAGCAGCCAAAATTTAGCACGGTCCTTGAGTCAGTAGGGAAAACACCTCATCTACAGATCATCTTTTAATATCCTACTCAATGGAAAAGTCTACACCACCGAATAAAATTTTCGGATAAAAGATAGCAGTTCTTCATTAGTTAAACCACGAAAAGCAAGAAGCATATTAAAATGCAATGTCTTGGACTTGTAATTCCTAACCTTATCATTTAGCCGGATATAATGTGGAGGAAGCTGTTATCACAGAACGTTAGATGTCCCTCAGATGAAGTCTAGCAGGTGGAGCTGGTGGTGGATTCTGATTGGTAGGAATGTCCAAAGCCATCATAAACTAAGGTACCTGAGCAAGAAAAATAAAAATAAAAATAAAAGTGAAGAAAAACTTAGTGTCGTCCTCAGCAATGGCGCCAAAAACTTGATCGACGAATTCTAACATACTCTTGTGATTAGGTTAAGTATGTTTATCTATCTAGTACATTGTTTTATATCTCTTCTTAATTTAATACAAACCCTAAGAGTATGTCTATGGTGGCCAAACATAAACACGTAATTAAAATTGATATAGATAAATTATAGCAAAAGGCAAAAAGTTAAATTAGAAAAATTAATCAAATTCCTTTATAAAAACCCTAAGTCTAGCAACAATTTAGTTCAACATGATTAGAAAATTAAGACCACGAATTCAAAGAGTTACTACAAAGATAAGAAAAAGAGTAAGAAAACTTCTTAGCTGCTTGTTTCAATCTTCTCCTTGTGCGTTCCTTGATTCACCTCTATTTGATCTCGATCTCTCAAGATTAAACTATGAAAAGATGTTAAAACTAGTTTAGATTAATGTTTTCCACCCTAAAATGACCTAAAGAATCCCTATTTATAGCTTCTTGAACATGTATTCCAAACAAGATAGGAATAGGCTTTATTGAATTTGAAAAATCACATTTTTGCACATTTTTCTGATTAAGACCAGCCCAATGTCTGGCGTCGGTCTTGGATCCGTCTGCGGATCAATAGGGATCTACACGTGGATCAATTTTGAAGCCCAAAACTCCACCAAATATGTCGAATCAGTTCTTACTCAAAACATAAAAGTTGTAGCTCTTTGAATAACCTTTCCAACTCTATAAGAACCAAGTCATTTGAAGGTTTGAACATTGAAATATGCCTAAAATACTGAGACGTGGTTGTAAGAGAATTGCAGCGCAACTATACTTTAGTAATTTAGATTTTTGACCATGAAAACGTAAGAACCAAACTTTGATGTCTTCATAATTGCAAATCGAATCAAGAATCATCTCAATCTGTTTTGTGTAGCTCAAATTATCACCAAAATATTGAAACATGTCAATCCTATCAAACCTATTTCTCTTGACTTTTTCCTCTTTTATTGCTTCTTCACCCACTTTTTTAGTCCATTTTCCCTCTAATTGGGTTTTTCACCTATTAGAATAATATAAGAGTAAAATTAAGTAGTTCCACTTAAGATAAATATCAAATAATATAATTGATTAGCAACTTATGCATATAAATGTACTACAATTGACGCCCTATTACCTTTCTTCTTTCAATATAGGAAATTTGTGGTGCTATTTACGGGAAACATATATGCCCCTTGCATATTTGTATGGGAGGAAATATGTTGGGCCAATCACCGATCTGATACTGTCACTGAGAAATGAGCTCTACAATGAACCTTATGATACAATCAATTGGAATGCAACACGACATTCGTGCCTAAAGGTAATTAAGTTGCGACAATGAATAACCCACCCACACCACCCCCCCCCCCCACCAACAACCCCACACCCCGGGCCCCCTTTTTCTCTGGGCAAAAGAAATATGCTGTTGTTGATTTGTGCAAAATAACTTCACAAAGTCTCTGTAATTTCTCCCATGCACACTCAGAAAAAGTGCATTGGAAGAATAGATGCTAAATCGTTTCATTTTCTTGATTGCACAGAACACAAACTACAGAGAAATTAGCTACTCTCTATCTAGCAAGTCTGTCATTGGTCAACAGTTTGTGTTGTAGTGCTAACCTCAGCAGTCAGCACAAATCTAACTTTAGTATATTACAATTCCCCCAGAGAAGCTTGAACCAAGATACCTGCGCTCCTGCGCGGAACAGTTTTTCCATAGCAGACTTAACAGAAAATACTCCATTAGCAGCTGCTGCCCATCAAACACAATCCTGCATATAAGATTGCAGTAAAGTAGGAACACTGCATTTAAGCTCTTGCTCCTTAGCATTAAAACGTCTTCCGGTAGGCCAATTCCGTTCTCCATTCTCCATTCACAATTCCATTCTTTGCTTGCTTCAATACTAGCTAGCAAGCAAGAAATTCCACACTAGAACGTTCATTCCATCGTTCGAGATTCAATTTGGGCATTTAGGTGCCTTCTAAGTTTCCTCAAGCTCCTTATTAAGTTGTCCTTCTGAATTAATTATTTTGCATGCATGAACAAGACATGAAATGTAACAATTCTCAAATGCAGGACGATCTCACCAGCCCTCAACCTTTTATGCAAGATACAGTTTGGGACATCCTCCATCACGTTGGAGAGCCAGTTTTAAAGCTCTGGCCCTTCTCCAAGCTAAGAGAAAATGCTTTGCGAAAACTAATGGCACACATTCATTATGAAGATGAAAACAGTCGATATGTTAACATAGCATGTGTACAGAAGGTAAATCCAGAAACCTTGGCCCTTATCTCACCATTAGAATCGATGTGCTTCATTTACATTTTCCAATAGCTAACGACTATTAATTATCGTTTTCGTTCTGATAAAACTTTTATTGCACATTGAGTTTTAGACATGATAGACAATATGAAAAGATGGTAATATATGGTTCAGATTTCACGTTTTTATCGCAGAAATTCTTTACCAATAACGCCAACTGATGCATTTGAACTCGAAAATTTTTCTTATTACTATTATTTTTTCAGTTTTTATAGTTCAAAGGAGACTCCAAGGCATACAAGAGGAAGGAGAAATGAGAAGGGTTTAAGAGTCGAACTAAACACTTTACAGCCACCTAACAGATGGATCTGATGTGCAAAAGACTTCATTCTCCTTGATTTGAAATTTATGTTCCAATATGGCTTGTCATTCTGTCAACAATCAAGACAACATATTGATTCGACAATTTTCATAGATAAATTCCGTTTAAAAAAAGGTATCATATACACCATAAGATAAATTGTCTAATCTTTGCAAGCTTATTTAAACAGGTACTCCACATGATGGCCTGTTGGGCAGAAGATCCAAATCCAAACTCAACCTTTTTCAAATGTCATCTTGCCCGAGTTCCTGATTACTTGTGGATTGCCGAAGATGGGATGAAAATGCGGGTCTAATTTTTTATTTGAAAGATCTCATTACTGAATTTGACTTGAATTCGATTAATTCGAAATTGGATCTTTCGATTTCCATTCTGAATTATTGAACTATTCAATTGAAAATTCTGGATTCAATTCGGATTTGAGCGGTAAATCGGAGTTTTTGGATTTCTACATTTCTAGCGGGTAGTTTGGTGTCACATATTTGCGTTGTCAAAATGTGATGAACTGTGTCAGGTTTTTGTGTGCAATTTGATAAGCGATTGTGTTAGAAAGTTAGATTTCTAAGGCTAACAGCATAAGTCCAGGGAATTGGCCACAACTAAGCAAAAAGTTTAGGTGAAAACCATGCAATGCTCAAACTATTACCACTTGCAATAAAGAGATAATTATCAACATGTATGGTGTTAAGAAATCTAGTAGAACAAGAAAACAAAGATGCAACAATGAGTAAATAAAGGTTAGGTAAAAAAACATTAGGCCTCCAAATTCAATCAATTGGCATGACAGTTGATAATAACCAATAGCATGGCTAATCATCAAACTGTCAAAAAAGAACACCAACGGGAAAGAAAACTTCTTACCTGACAATATAAATTAGTAGACAATATAAAATAGAGGAACTTGAGCTCAGCAGCAAGGACCAAAGACAGACTGGTAACTTCTTATTTTCAATTACCGTCTCTATCGAAGTACAGCAAGGAGAAGAGAAGGAATGATGCCCTTCACTATCAAAAAGATTAGCGAAGCAAAGGAAAACGGTAAGTGGCAAACAAACATTTGAGTTTTGTAGTCTCAGTCCTACAAAAGCTTAATAACTTCAATAAGAAAGTTTACCTTGTTCAATTATATAAGCAAATACAGGTCATCAACAAAGAAAATGAAATTTTACTTACATAATATGCAGCGGCTGCAAGTCAAAATTTGATAGATGTTCCTTCCTATTATACTTTAATTTCCATTCAATAATTCAACTATTTGAAATATTTGACGAAAATGATTAAAAAAAGGTGGCCAAAGTTTGAAGAAATTGAAAGACCTCCCCATAGATAGCTTTATGGATTCATCACCCTCACATGACAGACAAAAAATTATGGGAAGAGCTTGTTTGTGAAGAAGGTTTTGACCGCAACATGCTTTCAGGAAACACATTCAGAAGAAAGAAAACAAGTGCTAAAAATGCAAATAATCAGAAAAAGCAAATCAGAAAAAGCAAAATAAAGTTGCTACAGAAAAAGGAAGAATTACAACATGACTAATCTACTTCAAAATTTGTCAAAAACTTATATAATACAAGAATAATCAAAAGAAAACATACCAATTAGGAATGGAAGAATAGGAGGATTTGTGATCAGAAAGCTTTGTGGAGAATGAATTGGGTGATGACCTTTAAAGAGCCATGGTTTGTGTGTGACGGATCAATGGATAATTCGATTGTAGCAATCTCATTTCTCAGCGCAAGCTCTGTCCGATAGTTAGCAGCTAATTTGGGGCTTAGAAAACTTGTATGCGTTTTTAGTGACGCGCATCAATGATTCCTGGAGATGAAATGTTAGAGATAACAGTAACGGCCTCTTCATAATTTTCGCAGTTAACAAACAATAAACTACGGCATTAGCTAACTCAAACTGAAAGAAAACATGCGTAAAAAGTACAAGAGCACAAGAATGAAGGACTAACTCTTGCAGCTACTAACGAACGCGGGCGTGGACTAAAGAATCCATAGCAAGCTTTGTATAGAATGGCCGCAAGAAAAACAAACGATAGAATAATGTGGCGTGAAAAGAGAACACGACACGTAGTTCATAAACCTTGCATATCATGCACGTAGCTGTACAGGTGTACTACAAATAAAAACACCTGGCTGAAGTCCATGCAAACAGCGAACAGCAGCTAACGCACCACCTACATCGCTAAGAATCATCGAGCACAAAGCCACCGGGCGGACAGCAGCGAACAAAAGCCATGGAGACAGCTGATGGCAGCCAACGCATCACCCACAACAAAGCCACGCAGACAACATCGAATTTCCAAAAGCCATGCAGATAGCTGATAGCAACAAACTCACCGCTCACAACAAAACCACGCAGACAGCATCGAATTTCCAGGGCCATGCAGACAGCTGATAGCAACAAACTCACCGCCCACCACAAAGCCAAGCAGCAAATTTCCAGCAAAGCCACTACCACTTAATGACAAAAGACCAACCTGCCCCTCAAAGTCACCACAATCGCATGATAACCAGCCCAAATTCACTGTAGCAATCCGAACTCCCACCTTTAGTATAGTAAAGATTCATATATAGTGAGAACTTCTGGGCTTATATTTCAAGATATTATTGTTACCAGGAATACACAAATTTTGATGGTGAAACATCTCATTTGGTACAAACATCATGGGCTCTGATGGCACTTATACATGCTGGACAGGTTCGCTATCCTTAACCTCGAGATGATATGTGGCATTTTTTACTGTATTTTTCGGCTCACAAGCTAAGCAGTACGACCTAAATGGTGCTTACAAAACCATCGTAAAACTAGTACAATGGAGTATACGTTTCATGTAAGAGGCAAAAGTAATATTTAACAATGAACTAAGTCACCCCTTGAATTTGAATTTCAAAAAATTAATGACTTTATTGTTTTGATTTGATCCAATTTGTGACTTGCTATCCAACCAAAGTAAAGTGAATAACTCATTTCTTAAACACATTTCATATGTTTGTCCTTATTACGCATTCATGGATGTTTTCCACAACAGAACTATTCATATAAAATGGCATTGTAGTATACAATTAAATGTCGTATTGTTTAACAGGCAAAGAGAGATCCGATACCTTTGCATAAAGCTGCAATGCTACTAGTCAATTCACAGATGGATGACGGATCTTTTCCTCAGCAGGTACATTTATTGAGAAAGTTGTCAATAAAATTAGTTTCAATTACTTGTAATCCATGAATATTAATTACATCATCCAGGGTACGTTTGATAAAATTGAAATTTGAATTTATTAAATTATTAAATTGTTAAGTATTAAATCTAATACATTTGAGTGTATATCATCACATTAAGTGATTAGTGAGTAACTTATCACTTATTTTTTGAATTAAGTTTTGCCTAAAATATTCAGTACCATTTCATTAATTTAAATACTTTATTTTTAGTTATCAAACATGTCTGAACATGTTAAGATCTGAATCCATTAAATTTAAGTGCTGAATTAGTTTATCAAACAAGATCTAAGTAAATGTCCATAATCTGTATAAACTGATTTAGTTTCTTTATTAGTATATCTTGGTTTTTTATTAGACTATCACACAATGATCGGGGAGAAATGCAGTTTTTGTTCCCAATGATTGGTCTAAGTGCCAAATTGGTCCTTAATATTTTGGCCAAAATAAATTTTGTTCCCAAAGTTTGTGATTTTAGATAGATTTAGAACAACTAAAGGAAATGAAACAATGACTAACGGTCAATATCAAATTGCTCTTAGTCAACAACTTTGACTTTGCACTTTTGATCTGCAAAGTTTGTGATTTTTGGCTTTTTTATGGCAACTAATGGAAAATATTCATAGCTAACGATCAACAACAAATGGCCCCTAAAGTTTGTGAATTAAATTAAATATTTGACAAATATGATCCTAAATTTCTATAAAATTTCATAAAACACTTTATATTGGCACAACATGAACGTAGCCTAAATAGTATATATATATATATATATATCTTTGTTAATTAAGTTATAAGTGGATTATAATATACCAAGAATAAAGAAAACATAATATAGTGGAAGAAAAAGAGAATTTTAGTTTTATAATTTAAGTTTACTATAGTTACTACTACAAAAATTGTTGCATGTCTTGTGCATTAGGTTTCAAATTCTTGTAACTAACCATTGTACTTATAAAACTTGTGATGGTAAGTATCAATGTGAAGTAATTATAGGAATTCCTAAGAAAATTATTTTTATGTTTTGTTGTCTTTCTTACCAATTAAAATCTAATGTTCCAGTATTGTAGTTTTAAAGTATTTATTTTAATGTTTATGTACCTTGATAATCATTTAATGGTTAATACAATATGCATAGAATACCAACTTCATTTCAAACTCAATTGACAACCTGTTAAAATACCAAAAAAAAATGATCAACTTAATTTAGAAAGAGTATAAATTTGTTAAATTTTAAAGTAATATTTAATTAAGTTTTTAAATTATCATAAGAAATAAAAATAATAAAACTCATAATTAATTAATTATTAATAGTGAGAAACAATAATATATACATATATATGTTATGCTGAATTTGAGACTAACTATGCAAAAGAAAAGAAATATGTGATATATTATTAGCATAAATAAATGAAATAAAAATAAAAAGAGAAGACAAAAAGTTTAATTAGAATTCTTATTGCCTATTTAATACAATTTCATTCTATTTTGCATCTCAATTCATGTTAAAGCCATTAATATCGCTATTTAAAATTTAGAAAAATATAATGATTTAATATCAAAACCTTGGGGATCAAAAGTGTAAATTCAAAGTTGTTAACTAATGGCAACTTAATGTTGACGGTTAGTCATCGTTGCATTTCCGTTAGTTGTTCTAAATCTGCCTAAGATCTTAAATCTTGGAAACTAGATCTGTTTTGACCAAAATATTGAGGATCAATTTGGCACACAGACCAAATATTAAGGATCAAAGCTGCAATTCTCCCCAATGCTTGACCATTATGTTTTTTGCATCTATTTTGAAAATTTACCCCATAATTCTTTTAATGCTTCTCTTGTTGATTTATCTCAGCGGTCGGAAAGGTCATAATATTGGGTAAGTTAATAAAGCAACCGCTATCTTATTATTACAAAAGAAAACACACGTATCACTATAATATCAGGGAGGGTTTTGTTTAAAAAAGATTTAACAAATTAAAAGAGGAAAGAGAGCTATCAAGGAGAGACTTAAGACGTGAATGCAATTTTGATACAGCGAATTGGACCATAATTAGTAGGTGCAAGAATTCATTCAAATCAAGTAACAAGACTTCAGCGCTCTCACCCGTGAATCTTGAGGTCACAAGTTCGAGTCTCCGCTCCGCTGGATTCCTCCGCGCACTTAACGCGTTTGGGCCGGGTTGGGGCGTCGGGCCCGGGCCGCAGGGAATTAGTCGGGCCCTGTAAGGATTGACCCGGACACTCTTGTGTCGACAAAAAAAAAAAAAAGTAACAAGACTTGGGTCAAGTGACTATTGTGTCATTCAATGAATTGACACCATAGACCAACCAATTGATCACCATTTAGCTTACTCTCTCTCTCTCTCTTTCTACTGTTGTTTCACCTATGTATTCTTTGTTATGACAGTGTATGTAGTTCATACTATCCTTTCTATCATCGAGAACTTCCATTGCACATTTAAAAAAGAAGGGATATTCTTTTTTGACCTATTGCTGTATTGGTAAAGTGATTATATTATAACAAAAACATAGAGATACACATGCTTTGGAAATTATGGTATTTTAGCTAGGCGTTATAATTTTGTTATCTTGCAGAGATGTGCGTCCTCTAATTCTTTGTATCAATGTAAATCGTATGTAAATATATTCCATTTTATGTTGTGCCAAAAGAACAGTCACTTAGTTTAGCGAAAACTTCTAACTTTCAATTTATTGCTCAAAAACACTGTGATTGGAAATGTTTCCAAATGCTTCCCATACATCAACAATTTTCACAATAGAAAATCGAATTACAAAGACTATATTTATATTTTTTAGCAAAATATTGTCATACGAATTGGATTGTTTTTTTTGTTGAATCAAGAGATTATTGTTCCCATAGCGCTGTTATGAGACAACTACTTGCTTTGTGCGTAAGAATTTTTGATATCACAATCTTTTATATATGTTGCTGCAGGAAATGACCGGAGCATCCATGGGAAATTGCATATTACACTATGCTGCACATAGGAATATTTTTCCATTATGGGCACTGGCAGAATATCGAAAAAATGTTGTACCCTATCTAGCTTGATGACTTTTAATTGGTTTTATCTTGAAAATACTTGATATGTTATGTACCCTCTTGACAATTAATATTTGCAGCCTTCTTGAGGATGACTGTAGAGGCCTGTTGTTGCTTCATTTTGTAACTAATTTTAGCACCAAAAAAAAGTTGTTTTTTAGATATAATACGTTTGGCTACGGGTGGTTGTGGCCGTCGTATGAATTTAGTTTGTGAATTTTCCCCTGTAATACTAGAGGGAAAGATTTCTCAATTTTGTTGAGAGTCACCAACTCACTGCTTGATGGGAAAAAAAATTGCAAAAAAGCAATATACCAAGACATAACAGTGGCTTATACCAACATATATATGGACAGAAACAAATCGTATAAACTCTCTATAAGGACAATCTTGAAAAAGGAAAAAATATATGATCGCATTGAAATTTTTTTTTTTTTAACTCTCAATAGCACTTAGACTATGTATCCACTATAAGGGCAGACAGAACTCAACCGGATTGAAATAGGGATTACAAGAAGAGGCCTATTTGGGTGCGGTGATATACCCTCCGAAGATTTTTAACTACTGGATGCGGAGTTTGATAGTATTGATAAAGATAGATTATTGCCTCTCCATGCTAATATCTTGTATTGTCTCAGCTGCTGTTGCATCCCCTTTGGAAAGGAAACAGAGAACGTGATCGCATACAGGTTTTCATGCTCTAGGATGCCAAATTGGTGGATATTAAATTCAGTTAGCATCCGCTTAAATTGATGGATTTGTATTTGGTGAAGGATTTTATTTGAATGAATTTGGTATTTTAGTTAATTTCGAATATGGTCTTTTTCTGTTTTTAGTTAATTCAGATCTCAGAATTGGTTTCGTATTTAATTGGCGCAGATACAATTTACTCTTTAAGTACTAAGCATCATTAAGTGCGAAAACTACTGCATCATCTTCTTTTTACAAGACAGACAAATTAGGGAGCACCATCAACTATAGCCCTTTCCTCTTGCAAACAATCCGCACAACCCGGAGGACCGTACTTGCTTTTCTCGGGGAAGAAAACACCACCGCTGCCAACAACGGCCCTTCTCTCAAATGCACCTAAAAAAACTCATGACTATGGTTAGCTGTCCATTGTGTCTTGTCCACAAGTCATTGTGCTTATCATGACTATGGTGTTGTGATGGAGGGACTGTTAGTTGTCCATTGTGTCACGTCCATAAGTCATGCCCAATTGCAGGGACCTTAGTCCTCTTATGCTATGAAGACTTGGAAAACTTCCTCCATAACTTCCAAGCTAGACTTGGAAGTCCATGCAAAGCATTCCAATTCACACTCATCAACGTGTGCCATGTCTTGCAGACAATTTAACAAATGTTAAGTGGGATTTGGATTGATGGGTCTTTTTTCTGTAAACCTAACACATTGACTTGGAAGTCTATGCAAATTTAAGTATTCCAATTCGGACTCATCAACTTGTCATGTCTTGCAAACAATTTAGCAAATGTTGAGTGGAATTTGGATTGATGGGTCTTCCACGGATTTGCATTAATTGGTCATTTGCTTGCAAACAAAGTCACGCTAGAATCTATCTGTTTCTGGATTAACTTATTCTAAAAGGACAAAGAAAAGTTAGAAGCAACAAAAATTTAACTTTCTGCTCTCACACGTAATAATAAAATAGTAGAATTAACATTAAAAGTCTTACTGCATTTAGTGTGATTGTTACTATATTTAGTGTAAACTCATATAGTTTTTGTTAGTGCAAAAATTCACACAGCGGAAATAACATTAAAATCTTACAAACAAAATAATATAAGAAATGCATGGGAGTAAACAAAATATTTTACTTCAATTCGCTAATTTCCCTCAACTACGAACTTAGGACTCAAAGTTCTTAAATAGAGACAACCATAAATTCTATTCTAATTATAATACCAAAATATAACTCAATCTATTTCCTAAATCAATTTTGACATCAATTCTAATCTAGTTACCAAATAAAAAATATAATTCTAAAACTACTAAACTTGTAAAAAGTCTTGGTTTAATTTTTTTAGTTAATAATGGCTCCCTTAAACCAAACTCTTGATGTTGTCTTTTCTAATGCCATCACGAGATTCAATCGTCATTGCAGCCTTTGTAACAGTATAACTCACAAGTAACTCCAGTTTATTTTTTAATTAGGAGTAGGACATGCTCGTACTTTGCACGCAATTCAGCAGCCAATTTTACTTGATCAAAAAATTTATCCATATTGACCCATTCACCATTAGAGCCTCCATATCTTTTTGGACAATAATAATTCACACTACCTTCAAGCAATAAATCATGCCTTTTTTGTTGCAAACAATTGCCAATGGATTCATCCACCCCACAATTACAATAATTTCTTTTATTGACAAATTCTTCTTTATCAAATCATCCCAAACAAAGTATACAAATCATAATTTTCAAGCACATCAAAAATTTCAAAAGCCTCTTTATCAACAAATATATTTTTTTCCAAATTAACTTCCCATGTTAAACCACGTTTTGACTTACGATCAGACTCATAGTCAAACTCTATCAAAAATATAAAGAGTTTCAATAATATTCTTCGGATTTCTGCATAATCCTGATAAAAAACTTTTGGTAAACAGTAGAAAGAATTTACTTTAAGAATGTCACTCAAACCACACCTTGTGAGATATTTCTCCATTATGTTCTCCCATTCTCGTCTTTCTTCAATAGTACTCAATGTATGCAAATTTTTTAATTTTTTAACATTAACAAATTCTCTCTCCATGGCAATTTCAAACAATTTACGTACCTTAACAAAAATTTTTCCTCCCTGGCTTTAGGTTTGATCAAACTCCATGGTAAACAATCAACAATTTGGTAGAACCTTTTTTTTTTTATCATTGCACAACACCAACAATCTTAATAGAATACCTCTTTTTAGATCTTTGTTCATATTCTTTTACTTTGCAATTATTCTTTTTTATTCCATTCCTATTCTACTTTTTCATAAAAGGGAATTTTAACCCGAATTTCCACCGGTATCATAGAATTACTAGGTACCGAAAAAAAAAGGAGAGAGAGGGATTCGAACCCTCGATAATTCTTTGTTCAAAACTATTCCGGTTTTCAAGACCGAAGCTATCAACCATTCAGCCATCTCTCTGAGGGTCGCTTTTCCCTAATTCCAATCAATGATGGAATACTCCAAAACCAACCTTGTGGTCCAATTCTTCAATATATGATTACTCTATCACAACCTCTATACCTTTCTATAGCACATGCTCCTCTACCACAAATTCTGCACACCCTTCAGACACTACAGATACCCCAACATCAAACTCTTGAATCTAGGGCTTTAATACCATTTGTTAGCACAAAAAATCACCCAACGGAAGTAACATTGAAATCTTGCAAACAATAATATAAGAAAAGCACAGGAGGAAACAAAATATTCTCAACTACAAACTTAGAACTCAAAATCCTTAAATAGAGAAACATAATCACAAATCCTATTCTCATTATAATACCAAAACATGACTCAAACGTATTTCCTAAATTAACTTTGACACCAATTCTAATCTAGTTAACAAATAAAAAATATAATTATAAAGCAACTAAACTTCTAAAAAGACTTGGTTTAATTTTTTTTGTCTAACAGTTTTCTAGTTTACAGCAAAAAAGTTGTAAGAATTACGTCAACTGTTTTAATTAGATATAACTCAACTTAGAGACCCTATTCCCATGTCTTCTCAGCTTTTAAAATATGCTTCTCATAAATTTCTCTAATACGGAGAACAGGAGCAAGCATGTTAAGTCTTCCTCCAATGCGTCATGGAAGACCTGAAGGAAGCCATGTCAAAGACTCTGCAAGAAATTTAAGTCAAGTAATTTTGTCACTATTCGTTTAGTCAAGTCTTCCAAGTTAATATTCCATCCACAAATTTTCCCAAGTTGAGGGGTAAATTACTAATTGGGTTTGGAGCATGGTGTCATATCTTTCAAAAGTAGGTGATGGATAAGAATTTTTGGTCATTGCAAGCAGAAGAGTGAATTCGTATACTAATTGGTTGAAAGTTGAAACTCAAGCTCTATAAAAGACTCATTTTCGCCCTTCTAAATTTTATCAAACAAACCCAAATGGAGAAGCAAAATTGGCGTTGTATAATATCAGTTCACCTTCTCATACTGCATATTGCAATTGCATCCTCTTTTTCGGTGCATCATTTCTGCCACTATGATGAAGCTCTTGCATTACTTCAGTTTAAGGAGCAATTCAAGATTAGCGCATCCAATGAATTTTCTTCCGACTGTAGTTACTTTGGTCAGCATCCTTATCCAAAGATCACATCTTGGAACGAGAGTACAGATTGCTGCACCTGGGATGGAGTCACATGCCATGAGATCACTGGTCATATAATTCAATTGGACCTCAGCTGCAGCCAAATTGAAGGAGTCATCAGTCCTAATAGTAGCCTCTTCGGCCTTTCTCAACTCCAGAAACTAAACTTGGCATACAATGATTTCCAGCAATCGCGAATTTCGCGCCAGTTCAGTGGATTAACACACCTGACACACCTCAACCTCTCAACTTCAAATTTCAACGGCCAAATTGCATCAGAAATATCTCACTTGTCAAAGTTAGTTTTGCTTGATTTCTCTCTACATCCCCCAAGCTCCGCAATTTTAAGACTTCAAAAACATGATTTTCAAATGCTTCTACGAAATTTAACCAAGATAAGTGTGCTTTGTCTGTCTGCTGTACACATAGCATCTGAGGTTCCATTAAATTTTTCTTCATCCTTAACATATCTAGATCTTAGCAGTACAGGAATGCATGGTAAGCTCCCAGATCATGTTTTTGAGATACCGAACATGCAGGCTCTTGTGTTAGGTAGCAATGAGAACCTCACCGGTATTTTACCTAAGTTCAACTCCAGCATATCTTCTTTGGAAGTCTTGGATCTCAGTTTTACCAACTTGTTTGGTGAACTTCCTGTTTCAATCGGCAGCTTGAAATCCTTAAACTCCTTGATATTATTTGGCTGTCAATTCTCTGGTTCTTTACCCGAATCCATTGGCAACCTTTCAAAACTCACTGACTTGATACTGGGTTCCAACAAATTTGTGGGACAAATCCCAAGGAGTATTTCAAATTTTGTGTCGTTGAAGACATTAGACCTTTCAGGCAATGGATTTCAAGGTCCAATTCCAGATTCTTTCAACAATCTCCAAAAACTAACCTCTCTATCACTTTCTTATAACAGTCTAGTTGGTCCATTGCCACCTTCAGTTGTCAACCTTACAGCGCTGGTAGACGTAGACATCAGATTTACTTTGCTATCTGGTCCACTTCCTGCGAATGCATCTGGGCTCCAAGAACTCATAAGTTTACAGATAACCCATAATTTGCTCAATGGCACACTTCCACCATGGTTGTTTCACCTTCCAGCAGTGATTTTCTTAGATCTTGCGTTTAATCATTTCACTGGACAATTGCCAGATTTCACAGGAAATTCTTCATTGACTTTTGTCTTTTTGGATCATAATAAATTACAAGGTTCAATTCCCAAGTCAATATCTACACTTAGGAACCTAATATGGCTTGACCTTTCATCAAACAATTTAAGTGGCATTGTTGATTTGATTATGTTCTTGAATATGAAAAACCTTGTTTACCTTTATCTTTCCTCCAATAGATTAGTATGTAGGATCGACAAAGATGTCTCACTTCTTAACCTTGGACAGTTGGGATTATCATCTTGTGGGTTAAAAGAATTTCCAGGTTTCATTCAAAACTCAAAGAGTTTGTCATATTTAGACCTCTCCAGCAACAACATTCGTCAAATTCCCAGTTGGTTGACTTCCATGGCTTGGGATTCACTAACTTACCTAAATCTGTCTTATAATGCTATATCTACTCCTTTCATACCACCTTGGAAGAGTATTACTGTATTGGATGTTCGATCAAATCAGCTTCAAGGTCCGCTGCCAATTTCAATATGCAATTTAGAAGTCCTCTTCTTTCTTGACATGTCTGAAAACAAATTCAGCGGTGAAATTCCACGTTGTTTCGGAAACTTCAGTAGCGGACTGGCTGTGCTCAATCTGAAAAATAATCGCCTTCAAGGAAGCATTGGTATGATCTTTGCACCGAAAAATGGTTTGAGATATCTTGGATTGCAGGGCAACCTTTTTGAAGGGCAGTTGCCAAGATCTTTGGTGAAGTGTGAAAAACTGGAAGTCTTTGATGTAGGGAATAACAGAATAAATGACACATTCCCTACGTGGGTGGAAAATCTCAAGGAGCTCAAAGTTTTGGTTCTGAAATCGAATCGATTCTTTGGAACCATAGACAATAATTTCAAAACAAAAAGCCCATTCAAGAAGTTGCAAATTATGGATCTATCCAACAACGAGTTCACCGGTGTTGTACCTATCAGGCTTCTAACAAGCTTGAGAGCAATGATGAATTCAGACAGAACTGAATCAAGGGCAATGTACCTGGACGCTGGCTATATCTTTTATGACAATGATTACAGATATTCGTTAAGCATATCTGTGAAAGGGCTATCAATGGAATTGCCCCAAATCATAACAACTCTCACAGCCATTGATTTATCAAGCAACAGATTCAGTGGAGAGATTGACGACGTCATCGGTGACCTGGTCGACCTCAAAGTTCTGAACTTATCCAATAACAGATTCTCTGGCCATATTCCCTCCTCCTTTGGGAATTTGAGCTCCGTTGAATCATTGGACATCTCTTGCAATCAAATTGATGGAGAGATCCCACAGCAACTTACAATGATGACCTCGCTTGAATTCTTAAACCTCTCACAGAATCATCTTGTGGGACGCATTCCTCAAGGTAACCAATTCAATACATTTTCCAATGATTCATACAAGGGGAACGTGGGACTGTGTGGACTCCCACTAACAAAGAAGTGCAGCGAATCTGATTTTGAGGTGCCACCACCACGTCCTATAGATCAAGAAGAAGAGCAATCAGATTTCTTCAGTGGATTTACATGGAAACCGGTGATTATAGGATATGGTTTTGGAGTTGTCCTTGGACTCGCTTTGGGATGGCTAATGTTTGCAACAGGAAAGCCACAATGGGTGGTAAAGTTTGTTGAAGACGCGAGGTATCAACGGAGAAAACAGAAAACTCGTTAAAGATCCAATCCAACTACAGTAATGGAGCAAAGCCTTTCTGTATGTGCGTATCAGGTAATGCACAATCCGCATCTGGCCATAATTTTATTTAACTAGAATAATAGTACTCACTTGGAGCTAGTAAAAGGGTTTAATTTGGTCCGATCATCTAATTAATTCTGCATGTCTCTTTCATTTTGAAAATAATTTAATCTCAAAACTGTTTAAGTTATTTGTTTCATCAAAATATTGGTAAAAGGATGTGAAACAATCATCTAGATTTTTGAAGATGTTGAGGAACGCACGTAAAGTTATCAAGAAATATAACATATATTAGTACTAACGTTGATGAAAAAAATAGAAAATTCATCTTGAATCGACAATGGATAAACCTTATTTTCTTTTTTTTTTCTTATTTCCTTTTGCGAAATTTAATCGCTTCTCATTTATTCTTTTTGTTTTTAAACTCTTTCTTGTCTTTTCTTATTTCCCCATCTCTATGAAACAAACACAATGATACTAGAAATAGGGAATGCATATTGTAAAAGTACTCAATAAGCTAAACTGTTGAAGTTATTTTGAGGTCAATTTGATTAAATGCCATTAAGCAAGTTCACATACATTTTTAGATATGACTATACACTTTCCTAAGGAAAAGAAGTAGAATTTCCACGCTAGCTGATATTTGTTGACAATGTCAGGCCATTATGTGTCTTTTTAAGGTTTTTTTTTAAGCATCTTTTCAAATTTTAATAAAGGAAATAAATACGAGTAATTCATATGAACCCTATGGCTTTCAAAAGTATTTAAAATCCATGAAGATTTGGCCATTTCTCATGAAATGGATGGTGACATAGGGAATTTGGATGGTGTAGTTGCCATTGGAGTAAAAGGAAAGAGAATTTTCCTGAAGTCCCTTTTGATAGAGAATTGCTCTAGCAGATGTACTATTTGAAGTCCATGAATATGCATAATCCACAGCTCTTTCACGAAATGGGGAAAATTTTGAATATTGGCTTACTCGAGATCTTAAAGCCGTGCTGGTTTCTTGCAGGAATGGCTCAGGATAAAGGAGAATTGGAGCTAGCTTGCTGTTGAATGGGGCATAGAGTTTTAAGTGTGTTGGTAGTATACAGTATAATATCGTTTTTCCTTTTGTGTTCGATTTGTTGGCTTTATAGTTGATTGATGTACTTAGAAGTGGTCTACCTCCTCCGTGTGTAAACACTCTGTTCTTATCAATAAAAGCTTATGTGCGAAACCACAGTGGATAAATAATAATTTGATCCTTTTTCTTTTCTTTTTCTTTTTATATTTTCCAGTAGGGTAGGGGGTTGGGGATGGGTAGTTGAACACTTCACTTCATTTTCTCCCTTTCATATTCTAGGGATCAGAGTGGGACAGATTTTATACTTTAAAAATTGAAGTATCCCACTTTGAAACACAAGAATCCAAGTGAGAATTTAAGTATAATAGAAAAGTGTAAAGTATAATAAACCCAACAAATATATGAAAATAACTTCAGCGTCATGCAGACCTCTCATGAGCAGGGGATATAAGTAACTTTATTCTTCTTTTTTTTTGGGATTTAAGGAGAAACTCTAAGCTTTATAATGAAAAAGAGAAAACAGGAGGATTTGAGAGTCAAACCAAGAATAATCTACTTACCAACTAAATTGCGCCCTGTCCCAAAACAAATAACTTTCATGAAAAAGGAAATCCTGCTCTTGAATCAATGCGACTTCTCTTTGTTAACGTGAAGAATAAAAGTACAAGCAGGTTACTACACGAATTGCATGCAAACTCAGTTTTAACCAGTTGAAGGCAGTACTATGACTGAACATCATTAAGTGATAAGTGAATATTTTACATGTGTTTCATATGATTACATGTAAGCTTTTCGTGTTTTTAGGTGTTCATAGCCACGTCTAAGCCCTTTTTGGTGTAAAATTGCTTCAAGTGTTACTTAGTGAGCCAAACGTGCAAAATAAGTGGATTAATGCATAAATATGTGATATTTTGTAGGTTATTGGAGCATGAAACACTCACTTAAGTTGAAGAAGATGCAATGTGTACTTTGGAGGATAGCACATAAGTGAGACCAGAAGAGAAAGTTGCACGACAAAGGAAGGAAATTGAAACTGGAAATAGGGGAGTTGGATCCGACCTTGGATTGGAGTAGAAAACCAAGGATCCAACCTCGGATAAAACTTCTGTAATCAGAGGCTGTATCCGAGGCCATGATCCAAGCTTGGATCCCTTCGACAAAGGCCTCAGACCTTGCATGCAAATATATGTGAAAAATTGAAGAAACCTTACATCCGAGCTCGGATTAGCTTGGTACCCCTCGAATCCAAGGGTTCGGATATTTCTCTTCCTCAGCAATTTGTATACATTTCACACTTACTTTTTTTACTCTTGTTTCACAACAAATTTCGATTGAAAAGTTGGCAAAGCATCTTATACACTTGAAAAAGGAATATTGGAGATTCCAATGAAGGGCATTTTTGGAAGAAGAAGAAAAAAACGAGTAGAAAAACACATTATTAAAAAGAGAGAAGGGAGATAGGAGGGGATAGAGAAGGGAAGATATAGAACTTTTCTGTCTTTTCTCTGTAGCTTAACTTAGTGATAATTTTAGATCAAGTTTTCATTTCTATTAAAGAACTTAAAAAACTCTTTATGTAACCATGTATTTTTTATAGCTATGAAAATGATGGAACTTGAAGATCATGTTTCTTCATTTGAATGAGCATTTCTTCTCCTTTACTCTCTTTACTTGTTTCACTAATACTTTGTTACATTGAAGACATGAGCTTTATTGTTAAATTTACTATGTCTAACTAAATCTTCTTGTTCTAGGGATAGATGAAACTATTTGTGCCTTAACTATAGTTGAATAAAGTTAATTATTGCTATATCTTGCACTTGCTAGTTCATTTGTTCATGCTTTAATACTTGTAAATGCTTGATCACCATTTACTAGCCACTTTAGTTGTTGTTAATATATGAAAATAGTTGACAATAATGAAAAATGAATGAAGGAGTAGACACACAAAAGTAGAGGTACGTTTAGGTGGATATTTATGACATTTCTTGTCCTTGATATAGTTTAAACTAGAGATTCCACCACGAAAGTAGGGAAATTCGGGAAATTCTAGTGTAGACTAAGTTTGGTTCATTCGCAAAAGCGAGTGCCAATGGTTTGAATGAAATGCATCCATAGCAAGACAAGATCATGAGTGATATTTAGTTAATTTATCCATGATTAGGTACATTTAGTGGATTCTATACCCTAGGACACTTTTGTTGAGTTACTTCAAGTTGTTAACTTGCGTTATATTACTTTTTGCATTTTGGATGATTAAATTAGTTAAAATTCTTGATAAATTTAGATAATCGAGTGAGTTAGAAACCTTGGTAGTTGCAAGTGATTCCTCGTGAGATCGATCCTAATTCCTGAGTACTACTAACTATGACCTGTACACTTGCAGTGCACGAGGGATTTAGGTCAAAATTTAGAGTGTAGGTTTAGGCCTCATCATTAAGCAATATAAAGAAAGATAAGGATTTTTTAGATGATTAAACACGTTATTAAAGAAATCTACACTGGGTGTAAAACCAACAAATATACACATATGCACGCGCACTTAGAAATAATCAAAGGTTTGACAAAGGCCTTATTAATTCATGACTGAATACGTGCATGCACCAATGAACGTTATAGCCGGAATTTGCACGTTTGCTCTTGAATATTTGCATTCACCAATGAACATTTGACAAACAAGAGAGAAAACCATTCACGCTTCGATTGTTTATTCCAAGCTGAAGTTTGTGAATAGAGACATTAATTCGAGTGAAATTTATTCTCGAGCCTGTGCAATAAATGTTGGAGGACTCTTGCAATAAAAAAGTCCAGTCTTCACCGAGCCTTGTTGAAAGTAAAGCTCCTGGAAGCAACTTGTAAACTTTTTCTTGACGGCACCTGAAGATGACAGCCACGGCTTATTTTTTTTCCCCTTCTTTTATTGGTTTCTTGACTTGACTTTTGTTAAATAGGAAAACAAAGAGTTCATTGGGATTGTTTTTCTAGAAAAGTTTTTTTAAAAGGATATTTGAGCTGTAAAAAAATGATTGAAAAACAAAAATTTTTTGAAAATAATATCTGAATTATGTATGTTTAAACTATGGCTGCAGATGAGTCGACTCGAATCGAATTTTGGCTAATCAAGGCAAGGCTTGACTTAATTTTATCAACCTCGAAACTCGAGTTCAACTTTGATGAGCTACCAATTTTGAGTCAAGCTCAACTAATTAAGCCGAGTCTTGACTTAATTTTATCAACCTCGAAACTCGAGTTCGAGCTCGACGAGCTGCCAATTTTGAGTCAAGCTCGAGCTTGAAAAATAAAAAATAATTATTTTTATTTTTTAAAAAAATAAATAAAATAATATTTTTTCTTAATAAATAATAAAATATTAGAAATATATATGTAATTTTACTATTAAAATAAATAAATAAATATATATATATATATATATACTCGAGCTCGTGAGTCGGCTCGCGAGCTAATAAACTTAATATTTTGAGCTCGAGTTCGATTTGTCCAACTCGAATTCGATATTGATTGAACTCGAATCTAGTTTTGACTCGAGCGATTCGGTTCTTTTGCAGCTCTAATTCAAACAGACTATTTCGTCCCCTTGAAGGGACGATTCATGCAAAGGTCTATCAGTTGGTGTGATTGTATACGGATTTATAAAACAGTTCTAAAAAAAACTACTTTTGTGCTAATGATGTCTGTTATTAGGAAAAGGCAAAACTAGTTTGGAGTATGACATTGTTTGGACAGGAAAATTTTCTTTAAGAAATTTTCAGAATTTTCAAGGGGTAAGTTCCCTCCTCACATCCACATAGCTCCGCAAATGAACAATATTCAGTAGTCGCAATTGTTTTGTACAATGTAATCTGCCGTTAATATGGTAATGTAGATCACCACATACAACTTTAAACGATTCTTCATAGAATGGTAATTTTAGATGATAAAATCAAGATCTCCCATTTTAATTTTTTTAGGCGGCAAGAAATAGTTGTAAAACACAGTTACTCATGCCCAAAATCCCACGAGGAACACTCGTGTGGGACATAAATAGAGGCTTTTTTTTTTTTGAACAATTGTATAATATATTCTATCCTAATCCATAGGGGAGGGGTAGTCTAAAGAAACTTGTGTTAGGGGTTAGTAAATATACAAATCTTACTAAATCAAAGGAATGCTTTGGTACCATTTTTAAATTTTTTTTTTATTACAGGTGAGATTTGAACCACACTGCAACCCAACGAGGAACTTAAAAGCTACTCCAGCACGTAATTCTCTAACGAAAAACAAAAGTAGCCACGAAAAGACTCAAAAGTTTGCAACTTTTGGATATTCCTTTACTGTTCCAAACTTCCCAAAAGAACTCGCTGCCACAAGCTTTGTCATGATCCACAAAAAAAAGGCCCTATTCTTGACATAGTCCACGAACAATTATGATGCAATTTTACACATTCAGTCCATTTTTTTGACTGGTTAATTGATCAACCCTTTAGATTAAGTGCACTTATTATGGTTAAAATCATCATCAAAATTGCCTTAGGAGGTTGAATTCGAGATAATAAGCTATTACAAATATTTACGGACATCGGTTATTTCAACTTGTGGTTGAAGATTTAAAAAAAAAAGCTTGCAGTTGAAAGATCATTGGAAGTTGCTTAATGTTTAAAATAATGGTGCGAGCATCTAGTCTTATAAACCATTAGAGCTCCTCACAATTTCTCGATTCTCTTCGTGATGGAGCTCCAATAACATGCATATGCGGAGCATCAAGTTCGAGTAATTGCCAACAATCAAATCATCGGGGGTGAAAAAAGTGGAAAATTATCAGGGGTGAAGATAGAGAAGGTGGAGCACTACAATGGAGATAAAACAGCGTCTTGTAATTGTAATGAATCATGTCAAATAGCTACTTCATGGATATTCTCAAATCCAGAAAGAAGATTCCATGGCTACAAGAATTATGAGTTTTTTTTTATTTTGTCAATATATTTGAGGGGGATTTTTTTTTTTTGTGTTTTGGCAATATAAGTGGATATGGATATTTAGTAGTAATTTCTGATTTAGTTTCATTTGCTTTGCAATAATGGGCAATCTAATTTCTACACCTAATGGGGTATTACTATTCATTATTGTCACTGAAAACTTGCAAATAGTTTTTGTGGTATGGTCCGCCAATGCCGAAGATGATGAAAAATTTGATGGCAAAATTCTTGAAAGAACTAAGGGAAGTCGAACAAAAGAACCATGTCATGAAGATTGAACTTACAAGGTTGGAAGAAGAGAATGAGATGATGAAGCTTGAAATTGGAAAGCTAAAACCCGGGAACAAGTTGTTAGTTTTTGTTGTCGTTTTCTGATGATCTTTCTAATCTATTTCGTCCGTTAATTGCAAAAGATTAGACAAGTGTAACGATTATGCCCTTGTAGGTTCATGCAGATTGAGTAAAATGTGGTCAAAATTCCTATGTTGGAAATAAAGAACTTCTTCAAGAACTAAATTGATTAAAATAATCCATAAAGGATGAAATTGATTTTAGTGAAAATATCCAGGAACCAAAGAGATGAAATTCCCTTTATATAACTCCAAGGGCGTTTAGTAATGGACCCCTCGTTATTAGTAAGAATATATGTCATAAGTTTCATACTAAAAGTAGCACATAGCAATAACCACAGTAACTCGATGCATTGCCGAAGCTGAAAACCAATTATTTATATTTTTGGGTAAGTCAAACTTTATTCCAGAACAACATAAAGGTACGTTACAAAAACTACAATAAACCTGATCCCGCAAAAGGATAGCGACCATAAACAAGAAGAACATTCAAAACCGTGAAAACCATTGATATTTCTTCACGGCACGAGGGGCATAATTTATTATTGGTAGCTTTTTAGAGCATAGCATTTCTTCATAACCAGTTGATGGCTCCTTATTCCTCTACCCCTGGATTATGAACTGATGATGGGTTTTCTCTGATAAGAACCTTGCTGATCACTCCTTTGTACCACTCGGCTGAAGCTTTTTGGAATTCACGTCGTATTCACTGCCAAGAATTAATTAAGGGAAATTTAACAATAAGCTGAAATATTTTATCATAATTAGTACATACGTAATTAATTAATTCAATGACAACAACGTAAAGGGAATTAGTAGCTAGCATGCATGCATGAGCCCAAAGTCTTTACTCAATTGCTTGAAGAACACAGCACAAATGGTCTTCTGTGTAATCAATTCGAACTGTATCATTTATGGACTCCTCTTTGGTTAGTGTGTCATTAGCGCATACACCTGCAAACAGACGACCGAAATTGATGAACACATGATCAATAAATTACCTCATGAGTCATAAGATGAGTGTTTGGTTGATTACCATTCTCCGTGATGTAGATTGTTGGGTTATCATAAACCACTTTCGTGTAGTTCAGAAGGTCTCCGATTCCACGAGGATATACTTGAAGCCAAAACACACCAGCCCACAAGATTTTTTGAGAGTTAATTGATCATTTGATTTAGAATCAAACTCAAAAATCACAAAATCACAAAATTATACTAAGTTAAGATATGCTGAAACACGTTGAAATTCTAAAATTGACTTCATTAAGAGAAGAAAACACACGCTAGTATTCCTTTGTTCACTCTAATTTAAAAAGGCTGTTAGCTTACATCTCTAATAATAATTGGATGGCCATTGCAAGCAATTTTTCATGTGGGTCGAATTCGTGAGCTTTTAACATTTAGATATTGTGGCTGTCAAAAAATACAGTAGAAAAGTTATCTAGCATCATAAGATATAACAATTTTTTGCATGAAACCCATTGACTATGTGGTAAATGCATAAATTACCGGTCCAAGATCGACCAAAGGGATTGCCCTCACTATCAGTTTCTGAAAAATAAGAGAAGGAAGTTAATCCATAGACAGGAAATGATATGTCATTCAATATACACGCAGACCAATATAGTGATCGCAGCATTTTTTTTTTTTCTATTTCTGCTATTTTTAATTTTGACACATTTAGCAATTTCCAAATCACAAGGTCATTTGCATGTTTCAATGTCAAAATCAGCCAACGTATTATGTGTATATATTTGTACTTTCACCATGCCCTTAGTCCCTCAAAAGGGTGGAATCTCAAAGACGAAATATAGTGAGGATATAAATTGAGGGACACCAAATCATATATATATATATAAAAAAAAAAAAAAATTCTACTATTTAGGCTATGAAACTACACATGAATACATGATGTAGGTTCTTTTCATATTTTTTGTTCTTTCGGTTACTAAAGAATAAATTGGAATTCACCTGTTACATTAACTCCAGAATCTGTGACGTAGCTTGGACATGGTGGTACATAACCTTCGTCAAGGAAGTGGGTGAATGATCCAGTATAATAATTCAAACCAAGAAAGTCGTACGAACGCTCTAGCTTTCTACCCTCCACTGGAGTAAAACTTGGTAATCTTTCGCCTACTCTTTCCTTCCTGGTGTCTGGATAGTCACCAAATGTGACTGGACGCGTAAACCTGTGATGATCGGCACGAACTGTAAATTTGTTTCATCTTTTAAAATATGTAAAGCCCATCTGATGTTCAATATCAAGAGCCAAGAGGTCAGGCAGTGATAGCTATCTAAAGCATATCCCTTGCCATCCAAACGTGAAATCGAGTTGTATTTCTGCTGCTTTCAGGTCATCTTCATTTCCATCCCTAAATGGTAGAAACCATTGGCTATTGAGTGTGATTCCTATAATCCCACCTTGGAGTTCTTGCAGAATAAACAACATCAGCTAATATACTAATTTCTCCTCCTAATAGGACCTTTTAGGCTTCTCGTTTGCTAAATTTTCAATTCAAAACCTGTAGAAGACCACACATGCAACTTACATCAATGGTGTGACCTGATATTTTTGCCTATACAAGTCAACAGCAGCTGCATGGGAAAGAAGTTGGAGGTGTGTCACCAAATACGGTTCTATTCCTTCGTCTCCACCTGTAAGTTAAAGACAATGGTTCGTTGAGTGTGATCCAAAACTTAACCCGATCGCCAAAATTCTTGAGCAGGATAGTTTCGATAATCCTCCCTATTTAAGAAATTAATTATGAGGAAATCAAAACTGGAAGGATACCCTAAGCCTTAGGACTACATAATAATTAACATCGAAGAATTAATTAATATAGACAAGAAATTGGGCTACTTACACTACTCGGGGACTCAGGAATCCACCATATAGAGATTGTAGAGCTTGGGGAACATCCCAATGAAAAGTAGTCAATTCCTACGCGATGGGAATAAAAGGCACATTTACCATATATATCATGCGCTTTTAGGAACTTGAATTTAGTGAAGGGGAAAAAAAAGAATTCAAAAAAAATCAATTAACTGTGAAGGGGAATAAATAAAAAAGAGACCAAATTAAATAAAGAATGAGTTGTTCATTAGTATACGAAGCTGTTTTCCATTATGTTAAACTTTCAATTACATTTGAAAGTTTTAAACACGCAAGGAAATGGGAGAAAACTAATTATCATTCATGTTTGTCTTTCTATATTGTATCTTGTAAAAATCAAAGATTCAGTCAGGGCCATTATAAATGAAGCGACACCAAGCTAAACCTTTTGCTATGAGAGCATTGATGAAATTATTGTAGTAGTCAATTCCAGCTTGATTCACACCATCTTTTAACTGACCACCTGTCGAGTAGTAAGAATGAGTGCATGGAGAGAGTTAGAAGTTCGAATGTGAGAAATCAAAACCTTAAAATTGAAATTACTACTGCATTTAGCAAGTAACGATCACCATTAACTTAATGAATTTTAGCTTTTTCCACTACCAGATTAATCCATTTCACTGAAAAGCTCTGATGTACATATGTTTTGTGTGCATGTGTACGTGTGTGTGTGCCCTGGGAGCTTTTTACTTGTAATTTTAAGTAGAAATTCTCGTAGAAATGTGTAGTGCATAAACACAGGAAACTAACTTGGCAATATTCTGCTCCATGCGATTGAGAATCGATGAACATCAAGACCAAGATCAGCGATGATGTTTACATCACGCTGCAGTATAAATTAAGTAGAAAGTTGTGACTGTATATAATACTTATGTAGTCCCAAACACATATAAAACCAGAAAAAAAAAGGGCAATTGATTTTTTTCTATACCTGGTCAAGATCATAAGCATTAGTAGCAATGTCCCCATTTTTCGTTGAAAAGATTGAAACTGTCCTCTATTCATCATTCTTCAAATTGAAAAGATTGAGAATGAAATGCGTTTTCGTTGAAACTCTAAAGACCATTCTGATAATTAAACAACACCCTCTGGATCCATGGGGTTCCCAGCTGCCCAAGCCATCCAGTATGCATTCCTTTTTTTTTTTTTTTTGGTCATCAATATGTATTCACGACGTGTTCTCCATGGTTTCGTATGATCCAGGCCGAGTGTTATAGAAAACCCTAGTAGAAGTTGCTTTTCGGCCTTTTGGGATCTGGTTCCTTATTTACAGAAGCATATGAATGAAGTAGCTAATGAAAATGATGGTGGCCTCTTGCTTAGGGCCTAAGGCGGCCGGCAATAATGCAAGTGAATAAGCAGGACGCTTATTCTCCAAAATTCCTGCTCGGGGCAACTTCTTTGCATGTAAGGCAGGATGGGGAAGGGAGAGGGGGGCAAGAACCGTTCTCAGTGAAATTGTTGCTAAGGCCGGCAATCACTTTTTAAACTTATCGTAGTTCATTGTAAATCATCTGTACAATTTCTGATGAAGATGTGAAATACATGGTTCGATTACTGCTCCATGTGTGCAAATTGCTCAAAAAGAAGCCAAAAAACAAAAAAAGGGAACATTATTTTTGTAAGTAGTTTAAGTTATAAGGGAAAGGAGATTCTACATACATACCGCAGATCTCATGCTAAAATTGTGTCACTACGAATCAAACATTTCAAGGTATGTTCCCCTCTATTCGAAATTTTGGGCTTAAATAAAATTCGAGCTCAGATTCTATACGAACTCAAACTCGATTCAAGAGCTCAAAAATTTATTTAATTCTTGAATCTTAATATTAGATTATCACTACTACATATATAATATCTCTATATAATAAAATAAGAAATATATAAATTTATATAAAATATTAACAGATATTTTAAATACAAAAATTAAAAATTATTTGAATTAAATCGAGTTTTAACGAGCCGAATATCTATAAGTTCGAACTCAATTTGACACTATAAATAAATTATAATTCCTATTCGAATTCAAGCTCAAATTCATTGAAAATCGAGCCCTTAACGAATCGACCCCGAACTCTTCGTTAAGTGCTCGATTCATTTACAGTTCCGCAAAACAATCATAGCAGTAGACTTATAGTAATATCCCCTTGCACTAAATTTCCCGGGAAAGCCTAATCCACAAGACTTCCTCAACACAGCTGAAAATCACAATAATACAAAAGACTGGCGTATTGGCCATTTTCCAGTACACAGTTAACAGCTGCAAACAGCAGGGTTCTTCAAGACCACTAGCAGTATAGCACATCAAGCTCTAGATGTTTTTGAACTATACGTGGCTACAAAATTTTACTACAGCACGATGACAACAATACTAATGGAGCAGTTTAACAATGTTTCTAGAAGCCATTGACGCTTCTTTAGACTACATCCAGCAGGTCCTTAATTAACCTGCATTCAAATTTCGTTCTCAATAATATCCCGCATCATCTGTATAGGGATGAGCCCCTCAGTTCTTATTGCATCTTTGCGTGGATCTGGACTGATGAAATATAATGTCGGTAACCCACGAACCTGACATCACATTACAAATCCCTAATAATTTTGTTAAACTAAAAGACTTGACATGAAAAAATGGAAAATTGTAAACTATTCCTAGAGCAACTTCACAACCAAACCAGGTATGGTGGCATGCACTAAGCTTCAAAGCTCTGGAAAGAACCAGTTGCAATGAAATGTAAAGCAACCAAGATCTCACTATAGAAATAGTAAAAGAATGCAGCACAGGAAAACAGCAAGCACTTTCCATATTGTAGCTTATATTATGTATTTAAACAATAAAAGGAGCTCATGAAAAGCAGATAAAAGTGAAGAATCCAAAACAGAAAGCCTCGAAATTACCTGCATGTCACGGGCAAATTCATATTCATTATCTGTATTGACCTTCACAATCAGCACATTGTTTTCATATTCTACGGCAAGCTGCAGAACGACAATACAATAGAGCTCATTAATTATACTACTAGTTGACTGAGGCCGCCCAGACTTTGTATGTGAAAGGTAAAGCAGAATTGGTGGAGATTGATTAATGCTATGGTTAGCCACAAATCTAATGGTACAGCCGTTGGAAAACATGCATGAAAGGAATCCAAGGGAACCAACTTGCACAATTGAAATTTCACCACTCATACTACGGAAAGAATTGGCTATGATAGATTAATATGACGTCTAGCAATGTTTTATTGCAAAAGCTTTATAAACATCCCTTGATAGTAGATAGAATGAAAATATTGAAATAAAACAGAGTATGGATTAATAAATGTCCCCTCTTTTAAACTTGATGGAAGGCAATCATACTTGCATAGTTACATAAGTACTGAACTCAATCATCAAAAGACACCAAATTCACCATTTTAAGTCTTTGAAATAAGTCTCCTAGCTTTCTTTTGACTTTCCAATTAGCACATCAAACTTAATCCAAGAGAGTTGAGCCAAGCAATAATTTACTAATGTGCTCCCTAACTCATTATCTACACTGGAGTAAAATTTAGATTATCTAACATCAAGAGTTCAACTCAACTAAGAAACAAAAATGATTACCATGTAAACTAACCCAATTAACACATAATCCAATATATTACTATATAAGCTATTAAAATACCAACATGTGCCAATCAATATGCTTTGACACACCTCCTCTCAATTCTTTCAGGAGGAGAAATCAGGTCCCAAGAAAGAATTCTTGAGAAAATTAGCTAAAACACATAAAACAAAGTTGAGAGGAAATCTATGCCACATCACACACTCTTCTCAAGCAAATATAAGCTAAGCATCTGAAAACTAAAATCACCTAAACATATTACAAATGCTTAATTTGACATCCAGTTCCAAAAAAGTTACATTTACATGTGCACCATTTGAGGGAAATGCTGATGCCTAATTTGAAGTTGCAGGATTTAATCAAAGGAGAATGATTTATTATTGGCTCCATAATAAAGCTGAAAGTTGGCTCCTTTCAGATGATTGAGTGCAAAGTTCTCACACAATAGTTTCTGGGCAGGTTTATTTTTCTTTCTTTTTTTTTAATCTTTTTTGCAATTTCACTGTTCTTAAAATAAGTATATACTTGTAATATAGATGCCATGGAAGTATGGTCTTTGTCAGCATTCCAGATACAGCAACATTTTGAAGAGAAGACTTTTCATAGTTGCATTTACTGGCTCCCTGCAGATGGTGAATTAATCAGAAACAATCATTATAATTGAATTTTTTTAGAAATCTTTGCCAGTAGAAGTTTTCCAGCAATTTTGTTGAGCACTAGTTTTGCACTTCTCCATTTCAAAATCTTTATTAAACCAGTCTAAAAGCAGATAAACATTCTGTAGCTTTCATAGATGCATCAGTGAAGATTAGGCTGCAATAACAGGGGAGTTTATACTAATGCTAAGCCCTCATCTGGAATTATTTCCACTCTCAAGGATAAAAGCTGGACTGAATTCCATGATTTCCCTCCATATTTATCAGAAGTCATGATGTTTTCTTTTTCTTACACGTAATCATGCTGACGTTTCCAATTCTAGCAACAAATTTGAATTCATAATCTTATCATGACAAGCACAATTAAAAACATTTCCGACTTGAGTGAACTAGTTTGTGAAGAAACATTCTACTACAGATTCATCAGGATACGAATCAAGAAAGTCAGGGAGAAATTTTTTTTTTTAAAAAAAAAACATAAGTGGCATTGTGCTAACATATAAGCTGAATCCAATTACCATCCATACCATTTCAAGTTCTTGAGCCATCAAAATACAGGGACCGCACCATGTTGCGTAGAAATCGATTATTAGTGGTACATTTCTCTCCCCCTTCACCAGATCTTGGACTTCTTTAGCAGACAGTTTTTTCTACACAAAGGAAGCAAAACAAAAAACCCCCCAATAAGCCTCTGAAAAACATCGAAAGAAGCTTCCTTTTTCTCGCAGGAAAAAAAGAGAAAAATGAAAAATATACTAGAAAAAACACTTTGTAGTTGTTGCATGCTAAACAATGAATTCTCTGCACCGCCTAATCCCAAGAAACCAGCCACTAAAAGAGCAGTAAAATAGCAGTACTATGTAATCAGCTACAAAAAAAGAGTACCGAATATTACCACAAGATAATCCTCTCTGACATACTTGCCAGCAGGTGGTATGCAAAGCAACTTTCTTGATGGCTGTTGAGTTGAAAGCAAAGAGGGCCCATTGGCTGTGGAGATGGGATTTCTGTTGGGGATGGGGTTGAAGAAGAAAGAGCTGGAGTAATGGGTTTGTAGTAGATTCATGCCAGAGGGACCGAGACGTGGCGGAGCATGAAAGGAAGAAGAAGAAGAGAGAGCAGAGTGCATTTTTTTTGCCCGCCCGCCGTCCGTTTTCCTCCTTACCTGATGCTAAAGAGAGGAAGTCGGAAAAAAGGAACTGCCACCTCATCTGATGTGCGGCATTTCCAGCAGAAAGGAGGGGGGGAAAATGGCGCAGAGAGACAGAAGACGAAGAAAACTATTGCTCCTTTGTTGAGATAAAACGACGTCACATAGGTGCGGAGCACAATTAGTGGCATGAATTTGACGCGTCGAAAGGCCAAAAAGAGGATCCGTAAGGATCGGGGGTTTTGAACCCGACGTGAATCGAACACGCAACCTTCTGATCTGGAGTCAGACGCGCTACCATTGCGCCACGGATCCGTTGGTGGTGAAACTTTCTTTCGTTTTCTTGAACTTAGAAGTTGGCATCTAGAAAATTTCCCTATGAAAATTCTGAGATCACCTAACGAATCCCAGCATAACATTTTACATGGTATTGGCTCCACTAAAGAGGGCATAGCTAATTGCAGCAAGAATAGTTCAGGATGGTATACCAAGTTTTGCACAACTTGTTCAAAATAATACACATATTAAACAATGAAAAGCAACATGAATTTGATTCCAATTGATGTTCCGAGAGCCTGAATTTTTACAAAAGTGAGGCACTGAATATTTTTTTTAGAGAAAAATGTATTGTAACGATTTGATATATGTAAGAAAAAAATGATTAAAAATATATTCACAGAAAATATAAAAAATTTTTGAAGAAAAATGGCAATCCAACGTGATGCTCAAACTAATAAATTTTTCTTAAAAAAAATATATTGTTAAAGTAAAAAAAAATGCAAAGAAAACAATAAATTTAAGGCTGTGGACTGCAAAGGTAAGAGTGTTGGGGCATTGACTAGAAAAGTATCTCTTATCTCACAGCTCTATGATTGCCAGAAACTTCCAAGCATATTTTTCTGATGCTCTAATCTCACCTCCCTGCAGGCGAGTTAGGCGTAAAATGCAATCACAGTTACAAGTTAGAGGTTCCAATTATTGCATTTGCAATTAAATTTAAAGAGTGTATAATAATGTATTTTTTTTTATCAAAAAAAAAATTTAAATTTAAAGAGCGCACAATAATATATCATTTTGATTTAGAGGTAGATATCTCTTTCTTTAAATCCCTCACGGCCTAATTGACCCCTCTCCTAGTATAGGTTAGAGTAAAAATAATATGTAGATATTATCGATTCACTGAAAAAATGAAAAATTTCTTCGCTTTTGACTCTTATACGGTGTTATGATGGAATAACCTTCTTAGTTCTTTCCCTATTTGTCCCAAAAATATCTGCCCAAATTTCTTCTCTGTTTCCTCTAACCAAAGCCCATCTAAATAATCACAGGAGGATTTAAATGTCAGATGTCATTTTTTTTTAAAAAAATCTCTAATTTTGAGATTTTAACCTTAGCCACTAGACTAAAACTTCCTGAGCACATGATCCCAAGTTAAGAAAACATACACAACAGTAAGTCAAAGCATGAGGTGCTGCTCAACAGGAAACAAAAAACAGAGAGAATTCCACTCAGACGACAAACAGAAAAAGTTAATGTGCCCAGATTTTTTTGCTACCGTAATCTATTGATTGGAGAAAGAGGAGCCGAATTATAGTTTGGTTACTTTAGTAGTAATTTAAGTTGACAGACCTTCCGGAGTACAGCAGAAAGCAAATCTCATTGAAGGTAAGATCCCTGCATTCCAAGTTACAATGTAAAGCAATATCTTCAAGAATGAATGAATTACATAAGTTGAGAAGAATGAAAAACAATGGTTCCCGCTTGACTATTGACTCAGTATTACAGACAGTTAAATTGAACATCGCCTTAGATCAAGGTTGGATATTTAGCATCTAGAAAATCTCTCAATGATTTAGCAGCTTTGTGACCTCCCATTAAATCCACTAGCCTCTCTACCGGAACAAGGGCAAGTTCTGCCAAGCTATTACAAGCATCCATTATAGCCCTGTAGTTGGAATCTGTCACACCTGGGAGCCGCCTCAGGAACTCCACTGCTGCCGTATTGTAATTCTCAGCTCTAGTCAAGGGAAATTATCAAACCATTGATACATGTTTTGAAAAATTTAGAATAATCTTACTGAGGAAATGATCTCAAAGGAAGAAAGTCTCAATCCTACAAAGTTATGGACAGCTTCTTTCAACTCGTGATATATGATGCATATGAGGCTCTTAAATATAAAGCAGGATATCAGGTTTGAACAAACTGGAAAATCAGAGGTCAAAAGAAATATGCATCTATATAGTAGAGATGCACAGGTACACGCAAACTATACGTGACTGTGTATAGATTGATTGACATCACAGTGATAGAAATTAACGCTTACCTGACATCATTTTCCACAATACCCTCTTCTGACGGTACACCAACTCTAATTGCTTTGGCCTCATCAGGTTCATCCTGATTTGCCTTCAAAGAAGCAAATATCTCTGCAGTAGCATGCAAACTGCGAGACCAGACAATGCGAAGACGAGGGAAATGGAGAGCAAGCAAAGACAGCTTAGATATGATGTTATTTGGCGTAACATCATCACCAATATCACTAGCAGACTGCAAAACAAATGTAACTAAATCAGATCCAAATCCACCTCTAACCCAAAGAAATCCAAACCTCGAGAGCTACCTGAAATGAAAAGCTTTTGTCTTGTGAAAACTCAATCAGTAGAACTGGAATCCGGTAATAGCGGGCCATCATTTCCACCTGGTGGTAAAGACGACCAGATGCAAAACTACCAAAAAGATCTTGTATGCTTTTTCTTTCAACACATATCAAGGGTGACAGGATATAATCTCCAACTTCCAGTGTCACAGGGACTACGCGCATGCCTTTTTGGTGCAATACATTGGGGAGGCTGCTCATGAATTCCCTCATATCCACTATAACCTACGGAAAACAAAACTATCCTTTCAAATTCAATTGTTGATAAGATCAACTAAAAGAGGCTTTGGGCATATACCTGAGTCTCCTTATCAACTTCCTTTCTTCCACCTGCCTTTCTAGTAATCAAATTTTGGGCAATTATAGACTGAGGCTCAGCAGAAGAATCCAGCGCTAGAGATATATCCTGATTGTAGACAGAGGAGAGCCAACAGTGCAAAACTTTATGAGTTCTGCGGCCTTAATAAGGAAATTAATTGAAATGTATTAATACAATTAGTATCCTGGTAAACATGGTAAGAGCACTACAGGGAAGACTACATTGGGCAAAAAATGAGGTGGCACAGAGGCAATACATAGAGTTAAAATCAACAAATTTAAAACAAGATTAGGAAACTCACATGATCAACAGGAATCATCATCATTGATTTCTGCCTAATAAGGGATTCAAATGCTCCATTCTCTCTTCGTATACTTGCCTCAAACTTTTGCACCTCAGTGGATTCATCATAGAAAAGAAAATACACTTTTATTACTTTTGAGGGATTTTCAGCTTTATATATTTCAATCTGTCTGACAAAAACCATGTCAGGATGGTATACAACAATGACAGATGGCTGCAAAATGTCAAGTATATGCTGATCAGTATCTAAGGGATGGAAATGCACTGGTGGAAACTGCTTATTTTTAATCGGCTGTTCAGCATCAAACCCTTGACAATGCTTTTGAAGCAACCATTTCTTGGAAGATGTAACTTCATTAGGCTGTTCAATTAAACCACCAGCAGCTGTTGAAGTGCATTGATTTTTTTGGTCATCATCTTCAGAAGAACATGCTTCAGATTTACTCTTTCTTGCAGACTTCTTGTCACTTTTACCAGGCTTTACTACTGTTTTCTTGTTCTTTCCTTTCCGTCTTGCTCTCTTGTGTCCTTCACTACCCTCGCATGTTTGAAGTTCATCCTCAGCAGCATTATTCTTTTCGGTTTGTTTATTAATTTCAGATGCTGCTGCTAGCAGCGCCTCATGCTCCAGCCTGCTTATGCTGCTAATCTCCGCTTTTTGTCCAGATGCTGAAGGAATGACTCCATCAAGGATTCCAAAACCTTTAGGTTTTTTTGCTTTCTTTTTATTGCATTTGGGTAAAGCGCGCAGCTCTACTTTGCTAAGCAAATATTTTTTCCATTCCTCCTGCATAACCTTCAAAAGAAGAAAAACCAAAGACTCAACATTCTCCAACAGAATAAATATACGAATATAATAAAAACCAAGCTCAGAAATCAGTTGCCTTGATTCAACATTTTATCTCATGGAATGCAACTAAAAAGCAAAAGTTGTATGTAAATATTTTCTTACAACTCAGATACTCGCAAAATCACAAAGTAACTGACAAAAGCCAAATTGGCTCATTCGCAGTTTATCACCCTTATAAAGGATTTGGCCATTTTTCTCCAAAAAAGAAACCGTAATTGACCGTTGCAATAAATTTACAACAGAATGAACGTCTCACTCTTCATATTTTGGGAGATCCACCAAAAAAAACATGAAGCGAGGAGATGTTCATGATATGGGCAACACAATGAAATTTAAGGCAATAGGAAGAACCTTGTGGGAGCCCTTATTGATGCAATCCTCAAGCTGCATACAAGAGTGCTCATCTTTGCATGCTACTAAAACAATTCCATTATCATACGCACAATCTTCTGTAATTAGCTCCTCCCCAGACAAAGATTTCCTCTGTCTTTCTTCTTGTATCTCTTGAAGTATGTCCTGCCAAAAAAAGTCACATGCAAGATTCTCTTCAAGTCTTGAAAACTGAGATAGGTATCCACAAAAAATGATTCAACCAATCAACTTCAAGAATTGCAAAGAAAATTGGAATCCACTCACTCACAAGCAACACCTTCCATTTTGGTGGCTCCTCCAGGACTTCCTGTAAAACAGCACCATTATCTGCACTTGCTCCCACTACTACTAAGGCACACAAAGAAGAGGCTGAGAATCATAATCCTGATATTTCATTAGCCTACTATTCAAACAGCTATGCTGCATGTAGAACTTGAACTGCAAAGTATAATAGAATATATGAATGAAAAGAAGCACAAATACCTAAGGATTTGCCTAATTCAACCTTCACATGTTACCTCTAGAAATTAGCAACATAAGCAAGAAGCAAACAAATATTACCCCAAGAAAAAACCATGACCACAAAACTCACCTTCTTTCTCGCTGTTGCTGTCTTCTAGCTTTCTCTTCTTGGTTGCTGTAGTCTTACTTTGCCCAACATATTTCCCACCATCTAACCTCCCAAAACGAAAAA